TAGTCCCAGAGCAACGAGGCCTCCGTCTTTGCAAAGTTGCCCTTCCACCATCCGTTTGCAGACAGTTCGTCTGCCGTACCAAGCAGATCCCATCACCATGCTCCCACTTCGCGCGCAACCCTACTCCATGTCGAGCTGAGAAAAATCGTCCTACGGCCTACCAGTCCCCGAGCTGGAGACAACCTTATGAGACGGGGTGATAATCACACCTTACGGAGCTGACCGTCCTGCCATGACCATCATACATGGAGGCAATGGTAGGAGCGTCAACTTTTTTCCCCACGAAAGCTGCAACCAAGACCCCTTCTTCGGTACTATAGCCGCATACACGTCGTTATCATAAGAGGCTCCCCCTTTATCATAGCCGGCGTCTGTTAATGGGGGGGAGGGACCCAGGCGGTTGAGACGAGCGAGAGATACCGCGCTCGCGCGGCTCAAGGGGAGCCATGGGAGGGGGGGGGAGCCACCATTCTGACGCCGGAACTTGGCGAGACGAGCGTGGATGGTCTCCCAAATGCCAATGCCACGATACGACACCGTGGTAAATCCCAAAGCCTGAGCTTCCGTGGACATGGACTATCAAACACCCAGCATCTCATTCTTTCGTGAACCTGTCCCCGTCGGAGTCGTCGCAGCCCCAATCCATGCTTCCACGTCGACATCCGCAGTTCATCCACCCTTTGACACTCTTCCCAGCTCCATCCCGGCTGCACCGCGCACCCAGCACCCAGAAGAAGAGAGAAAAAGGCCAACCTGCGCGGTAGATCTTCTCGTGTCATGTCACACCCCAAGAGCTATGATTATCGTTCCTCTCGCTGCGCTCTTCCTGACCTTGCCCATGCCCTCCCCCCTCCTCCTTCGCGCCAGCGCCAGCGCGGTTTCTGATACATTTTACAAGCTAAGCGAAGGCCCCTACCTCGATGTCACGGACATGCGCGAGGCCATTCAAGAGGAGGGGCGGGGCTGAGAGGTCATGATCTGCGTCTGCGCTATGCGTGCGCAGTATGCGAGCGCGACTCCCACGGGTTCGATTGTATGACTGGTTTCGCAATATTCGCAGAAAATGTTGGTGATTGATGGCTTTGGTGGTTGTTTACTCGACCTGCCATCCGGTCTCATGCAGATGGTCTTTGCATCTTTTTCACAGCCACAGTCAACTCGAACTGTCTCCGTGCATAGGTAGATGTACGTCAAGTCCAGAGGTGGTGGTAAGCAGCATCAACGCCCCAAAGCAGAATAAACCGTTCGCCGAAACGGGATGCCCTCCTGCACCTCAGCACACCATCTCCCCCAAAGGCCGTCCTCCTCCCAAAAGAGTTTCGCAAGGTTACCGATTCGTTGAGAATCAGGGACCGAACACTTCTAGAGTCGCCAAACTTCCTGTTTTCCGTGCAGATGTTTGCAGATCGCTTCCCCCTCCAGTATCGAATTCACGTAAAATATAAAGATTGCACACGCCAAACGCGAACCGGACGGTAGGGACCGGAAGGCGGGCTGCACTTCGCCTCTCATCCCCCCAGATGCAAGATGCGGGCAATATTTAGAAACACAGACGCTACGAGAGAGAGACTGGAATGCGGGCCTTGGGGCCTTGAGTGAAGTCGCTGTAACGTAACGTGACAGCGAGCTGAAATCATTGAATTGGTATCAGACGGCATAATGACACAATTCCATCATCGGGTATTTGGGTACGCTGTCGTACAAAGACATGCAATGAGACTCGTTTTCGCAGGGTGATGCTCCGTTGACCATTACGAAATGAACTGCTGAGACTTGTGGCCGCGGGACGTTGATGGCCCGCGGAAGCGAGAGACAGGAAATCCAAGACTTGGCCGAGAGAGCAGAGACGCGGATTGTCCGGAGACCAACGAAACATTTCGTCTCAACTTTTCTGTCTCTGTCTGTGTGTCCCTCTACGGCTCTGGGTCGTTCTCCCTCCGTCGCGGGCCAACAATCTCTCCTAGATCCGGACTCGACTCCGATCGCTGGCATTTGACACACCAGACAGCTGGCAGTCCCTTCGAGCCCGCTGCCCACCAGGCGCGTGTTTCAGAGGAAGGCGAGGGAGAGAGAGGTACGGACTACGGCCGGCAGGCTTCACCCTGATGCTGGTTTTTTTTTCTCTCGCACTTTGCTTAACCTTTTTGTTTTCTTTGGGTGGTTCGCCCGTGGAACCGACGGGACGCTGTGGAAAAGTGTACGGATACTTTACACTTTTTTTTGTCTCTTCTCTGCGTAGTTCGCCAAGCTTTGGTTTTTATCTAGTATGCTTTTTCGTATGGACTGATTCCAAAAAAGTCCGTCCCACGGGATATGGAATGTCTGTTTTGAAAATGGTCCGTATCGGCCGGCGGGCGGGCGAGTGGGCGGGCGAGTGGGCGGGCGAGTGGGCGGGCGGTTCGGTCGGTTCAGTCTTTTACCGCTAGGCGCTTGAAGCCCTTTCGGCGTAGACATAAGTTCGTCCAACACGGGGCGGACGAGGTGTGCCAAGATTGCGAGGTTTATCGCGAGAGAGATTAGCAGACTACCTTATGGAGTACTCCGTATCCGTACATCGATTTCGTCGAGGCCCCATCAATAACAAATCCCCGGAACTTTTCCGATGTCTGTTGTTTGTTTTGGGCATAATCGAGCCAAGGGTCTGATGCATTGAAATCAAAGCTTGCCAGGGTTGTGAGGGCTCGGGAATGAGATCTTGGGGCCTATCTGGTCCGGAGATACGATCACGGTATCCGTAATGTTAGGAGGATGATTATTCACAGTGATGAAGAGGCCAAAGTGTTTTGTGAATTGCTTCATTTGATTATTCTTGATATGTTTCGTGACATTTCTGTAAAAAAGAGTCTGGTATCCGCCTGATAAAAAAACAATGCTAAATCCCCGTTTTTTCTTTTCGCCAAATGATGCCCCAAGGGTATTGTAGTAGTATCCTGTACACTTTCCTCCTCGTATCTTTTTTCCATGATAAAACAATTCCGCTAATGATGCTATTCCAATTCCGCGCTCATCAAAAAAATCCCAAAAAAAGGAGCCCACTCGCCCTAGCCCCGCAAGGACAGACTGCAGCATGAAAAAAAAAGAAGTGAAAAAAAATGGTAGCAAATAAAGATATTGACTTTCCCCATGCGCGACGACGTCAGAGGCGCCCACCAAGCAGGGTCGGAGTCGACTGCGGAGAAGGAAATGGTCGTGATTGGGCGGGGATTGAGGAAAACGCGCCATCTGGGTAGTGCAGAATTCGTGGTCATCAAAGGATAGAGAGAGTGAGTGCCCCTCACGAGGACCCCTATGGTTCCCCAATGACGTCCGCATCGTCGACTCGTGTTCCCCTCCCTCTGAGGAATGTGTTCCCCCAAACTTCGCAAAGCGCGCTAAAGTTGGTTGGTGCATCTGCAGTCGCGAATAGCAGCGCCAGCCGACTATTTTCTAGGGTTTCGGGATAGAACCATCATCATGCACGATGATGTCTTTTCCCCCTTTCCCGTTACCCCTCTGGTGGGAGAGTTGAGAGAGGGGGAGACCCTGAAGTGAAAAAAATCGCTACAGCAAGCGCCGGCAATTGAACCAACGGAGCGAAGCCAAAGGGTCGAAAGAGAAAAAGTATAAGCCGTGGCCATCTTTTTCCCTTTCCGACCCGCATTCTCCTCGTATCCGAGACGAAAGAAAAAGGGACCTTTTTCGCTCTCAGGCACCGAAAAAGAGAAGAAAAGCGGAAGCCGAGGCAGGCGCAGCGGCCTGTGCGTTTGGCGTTGGGTGGAAGGCCGCAAACAGCGCACAAGAAAGGTACATGAAACTGTTGCCTGTTCGCCCAGCGTTGCCGAGTCTCTTTTTTTTTTCTTGCGCGTTGCAAGTGAGAGAGAATGTGGGGTGCCCCATGCGCCAATGACCGGTTGCGGACGTGCCAAGGCCCCGATGTCAGCCAATCCCGCGCCCCGAAGGGTGGAAAGGTGGAGACATGGGGACTCAGGCAGCCAATGGGAGAGGCCGGGCTGTGAGATGACTAACCCTGAGACCTTTTGCTGGTGCAGGTGCCATCCCTCCGTCCATGTGGTCGGAAGAACTGTAGAAGAGAAAAAAAAAAGCCAAGATGCGTGGAAGAAAGGCGTTCAGTGGAATAAGTTCCTGACCGGACTCAGCCACTGGGTCGGGCGAGGAGGTATCCATAAACATCGTAGCTGTCAATCCAGGTCAGATCATGTCAGACCCGGGTGGATGATTGACGGGCTGGTGAGATGTGGAGACCGGAAGACCCCGTCGGCGCCGACTCGGCACGGGCTGTCGACAACTGTAGATGAACAGATGTTGAACGACAAGTTGTGTGCGGAGTGCATGTGCTTGTTGTGCCGTGTTGACATCGTTCTGACGTTGCGTAGCATTGGATAATGCTGCTGTAGCAATGTGCCGTCGTTCATGTCCATTGGAGGGCTCGTGTGGGTTGTTTCAACCTCGACGGGGTGACCATGTGACTGAGTCGAGGCCAGGTCGAGAGAAGAATCCAAAGGAGAATGGACCCACTCCATCGAAGTGCACAATGCATACATTTCGATGCTCTCTTCTCAGTCCGTGAGAATAGAATTGAAGATGAAGAGAAGAAAAAGTGTTCATCAGATCGCGGAGTTGGTTGGTAACTCAGACGCGGGCTGGGGAATCGCCGACCTGGAGTGCTGATCCTTGGTGATGGAATGAGGTCTCACTCTCAGGGAGACATGGTCAGACATGGACTGTGTCTGTCGGGTCCCTGAACGACTGAGTGAGATTCCAAGTCGTAACCGAGCCGAGCTGTGTGCTCTTACTGAGGTGCCTGGCGTGAAGTTGTCCTTCGCATGGTGGTGTACCTCAGTCATGGTCGATGAGGTTGGCCATCATCGGCTGTTGTTGGAGTAGCGTCCATAGGTTGCAGACTAGGTTTTGCTGCAGTTGGTTGGAATAAAAAGAAGATGGTGCCGGTCCGTCGTATACTGATCCGTCACCCCCAAGTTACATCCCGACCTATGGACCACTCATTTGTAGCCGACCATCTTTGCGCAGCGTTCGCAGTAGTAGAGGTTGTGAGCGATGCGGACCATTCCCGTTGAGCTGGAGTCGTCGGTGGAGGTGGCCTCGACGGACCTCGCACAGCGCAGGCAGCGAAGGACCTCGACGGAGGCCACGGGCCTGGAGATGGAGTCCATGCTGTGTCTGTAGGATGAGGATGCCGAGGAGAGGTCGGAGTCGGAGGATGAGGAGGAGCTGTAGTGGATCTTGGAGGGGCGCGAGCTCGTCGAAGGCATGGTGGTGATTGTTGGTGGTGTTGGTGGTAGTGCTGATGTTGGTTTGCCTTTGGTATAGTACTCCAAGTCGTTCTATGTTGGAAGTTGGAGTTGTATTGCAAGTGCAAGAGTTGGTAGGGAGAGTGAGGTCTCGAGATGTGGGCGTGGGAAGGCTTGATGATATATAATGAAGAGTAACTGTGGGAGGACGAGCAGTGTGGTGTCCAAGGGGGGTGTGAGCGGCAGGGGTGAGGGGTTAAGAAAAGAAATAAGGAGGGTAAAAGCGAACACCAGGGTGTAATCTGTGAGTCTGGCAGGGGGGTGTGGGTGTGTGTGAAGGCCCCCGGGAGGAGAGGGGTGTGCGAGTTGTGTGTGTGTGCTTATGAGTGAGTGTGTGTGGGATCGACCAGAGAACGGATGGTGATGGCAGGCCCAGCGTAATAATGCAAGCTTGCTTTGGAAATGTGCAAGGCGCGACGGCCTATGGAACTGTCGGCAACAAGAGAGACGGCCAACGGTCGCTCACTCACACTCCGTTGTCCGACAGAGCCGGGCTTGTGCAGTTTGTGCTTGGGGCAGTGAGTGGTGGGTGATGCGGCCCAGCACGACAAGGATGGCGTGTGTGTCCTTCTTTTTCGCTCGCTTTCCCAAGAAGTCAGAAGGGCAGAGGGGAACTGGTGGTCGTTCGAGGGGAGAGAAGGGGGGGCGTGTAAAGCCAAGCCCCAGCCAAGCCGAGGGAGAGAGAGAGACGTGAGAGACTGTGAGAGAGAGGAGAGCGAGGAAGAACGGAGAACGGAGAATGGAGAGAGAGAGAGAGAGTGAGAGAGGGCGTGACGGTGTTCTGATGGGTGGATGCGAGATGGCGTGGGTGGACCGTCAAAGTGACGGTTCGGAGACTGGCGAGACAGTCGATGCCGATTTGGAGACGGCGTGGTGATTACGGATGGGGGTGAGTCCCGTAAAGGGCCTGCGTCAGCGTTTGCTTGGTCGAATAAGACTGGGGTGTGGGGTTAGTTCCATTCGTAACGGATACGGATGATGCATATGCATTACGGGACACATGCGACAAAAGGAGATAATGGAACAGGTGGATAGTCTTACGGAAATATTCGTTCCAACGGGGCGCCGTCCGTTCAACGGAGGAGGGGCGTGTGCAGCTGAACGGCAAACACAAACTGGAGTCCTGGGCTCTAGGCTGGGGTCGTCGTTCGATTGGGCAGATATCGGGAGAGCGTTGGCTGCAATATCTGAGTCGTAATAGCTTCCCGTCTTTCCTTCCTTTGGGCAGTGCTGAGGCCGAAATGCGCGGTTTGTAACTCGACAAGCCCAAGGGTATGGAGTAGTGTGACTCTTTTTTCCCCTTCCTTTCTGTTTGAGGCCTGCCTGGTTGAGATGTATTGGTGAATTGAGGCCTGCTCGCTCGCTTCGCACAGCGTAAGCGCCGGTAACTGGAACCCTCGGGGATTTTTTTTCTTCGCTAGGCGGTGTTGAAATCAATGTGGGTTTTCCGATGACTTGTCAAATTGAACCCTTTCTTGTTGATCAGGTAACAATACGACAACACGTCGGTGACCGGGCGGTATGACTCTTTCCAGACCGGTGGATAGAGTTTCAATGTAAATGAACAACGAACCAGTCAAAGGTAAAAAATAATGTCTGCTCAAAGACTTTTTTTTTGTCAAAGGAAAGAAGCGAAAGTGTTTGTTTACCGGTCAAGACAAACATTCAAGGGGTCAATTTGCGTCTTCCTTCGCGGCACGGAGATTGATGGGGAACGTCGGCACTTTTAACACATCTCGCATGGGGTTGGATTGGAAAGATGGAGCTCTGAAAATTCAGGGTCCAAACCAAAGGAGAATGTAAAAACAGAAGAAAAAAGTGATTGATCAGACTTCTAGACCTCACTCTCTGCTCCATCGTTTCCCGAAAGCACCCTCCCTGGATGTAACTATTTTCCCATGTTGCGTTGCGCATATCTGGGTCCCGCGTTGGCATGTTTGTGCTTGATCGAAAGGACGACGAATGTCCTACCATTGTCGATGCTATCACCCGGGGATCCCTAAGCTCTTACAACTGCCTCCCCTCTTCCTAAGCCTCTCGGGCGATACCAGGCAGGGCAGGTCATCAGTCCGAGACGCTGGTCGAGAGGTGGCTTTGATTGCGCATCTCGATTACAGGACGGGTTGTGGAGGGTGTGGCGGAGAAGCGACATCAAACGGCGGGGGAAGCTATGAGCCCGTAGCGCCGAGTGTCAGTACGGATAGAGCAACGTGGTGTGGATTCGTGCGTGTGTGTATGTGTGTCCGTTCATCCTTAGGTTCTCGCCAAAAGGCTGATCCTGACTGTTTGATGGGTGGTCATGAACTCGAAGCCGGCTGTATTACGTGGAGATGTTGGCGTCTCACAGGGCGGCCACGCGGAGCCCGTGGATTGTGCGTGATAAGGTGGGCGGTACACACGTTCTCATTCACACACTCAGTCTTACACACACATTGACGGACTTGGCTTCAATCACGGGAGGTGGAGGTTGTCAATGGTGGGTAAGAAGGAATAGGAGTCTACTGTGTACGTTGGAGATTTGGTAAAAGTAGCGCAAGGTTTCATGTTTCGAGATGCCGCCCGCCCCCCAGCCCAATGGGGATTCTCTCAATGTTCCTGGGGGGCGCGTCTTGATCAAAATCTCCGAGCCACCGATGAATACCACCCATCATCAGGCCACCTCAAGTGTTCAATCGCCGTTTTCAACACATCTTCAGCTGTGCTGTCCCAGCTGAATATCAGGGGACCTAACGATCAAAAGAGCCAAGTCCCAACGACGGGGGCCACCCCAGATCGACAAAAACGGAGCCCCGAACCGTGGAGCACTGGAGCGGCGCTGGAACACTACCGTCTCGTTCCTTCTGGAGCCTTCAACAATCCTTTGATTTAGAAAATAATCCGCGTTATGTTTTGCGGCAGATTCGCAGAGGCAGCCCGCAAGTCCCCTCTCCACGGGTTTGGATTGATAATTCGCTCGTGGCAGCCGTCGTGCTAGATGCTAATGTTGCATGATCCTCACGGGAAGCCGTTGTAAATCTCCCTCTCCCTTGCGTATGTAATTTACGCCATCACTGCCGTTTTTCCAACTAAGTGGGGAATAAGGCACCTCCCAAGGCCTCCTCTATCTCTCTCAACGACGCGCCATGGCGCACGGTTTGATGCGTTGCCTTTGCGCCTCGTTCTCTTTTGGCTTGGGCTTGGCCCTGGCTTGATAAGATAGGCATGGCATGCTTGCTCTGCTGAGAGCGAGCGAGCCCGTCGAAAGCGAGGAGAGCAAAAAAAGGGCATCAACTTGGCGGGAACGTCCTCAAACTTTCATAGAGGGGGCCTTGGGACGGACGGAGGGCCCGAACCATGCGATTTCCGCGTAAGGAATCGCATGTTGTCGCAAACAAAAGCCCACCGAGAGAGCGCCATTTACCTATTCGCTTTTTTGCCCCAAGGGGTCCTCAAGGCGGCCCTTGCGGCCTCTTCTGACTCTTAGTTGGTGGCCAATATCGCCTGGGTCTATCCCTTCCCCGGAACATGTGGTTTTCTCTACGGACCCAGGGCGCGGTGCTGTGTTTTGCTGCGGGTCGAAAGCAAAAAGGAGAGGGCACGCAAAAGTTAGTTAGAGCTGCGGTTATTGTCTCTCTGTTTTCCTTTGCATGTGCACTTTCTATCCTCTACTTTACGGCTTCGGATTCATGCTCGACTCCTCCATCCTTGTCAGCCTACAAAGTACCTTACTTGCTTACCTCGTGCGCCCCCCTCTTCCCGAGGGCTGTGTATGTCAAAAAGGTGTCAGCCTGAAGTTCGGGGTCCTAGTTGCCCGTTCGAATCCATATCCCGGCGTCCCGGAGGGGGGAAGGGCGCAAGACCACTCGGCGACCAGCCCCAACGCTCAACGGCACCCAACGGCACCAACGGGGACGGCACCACAACGGAGCCAACGGCCACCCCTAATTGGCGTGTGTCTGCGTCCCGTTTTTGGTCGGCGGGATCCAGGGTCGGGACGAATCTGTTTGGCGTATACAGCCTCTTTACGTGAGAATTGGGCCCTTCCCGACGGAGGTATGGGCGAGCAATGCATACTACAGGAGAACGCGACAACCCAAATATAGGCAGTATGGAGTTTTTTTTTCCAGAGATGTTGAAGAGTATGCGTATGCTTCTGTGCTGTGTGAAACGTGGTGGGCTGAGTTTGTTGTTCCACTCAAATTTGCTTTTGCTTGGGGGGGAGCTATTTTCTGCCCATTTTGTTTGTTTCTGTTGCTATTCCTAACCTTTGAGTATCACAAGTAAAGCTCGTACTATTGAAACTGCAATACTTTGCTGGAAGGTTGAAGATTTGTTTATTTGGGAGAATTACGAGTCAAAGAGAAACACTTTCTCGATGAATGTGGAAAAAACTTAACCGCCGTTGCGGGTGCAGGACAAAGGCTGTCGTCGGATGCAATCAACCCCCATCATGGACAAAAAAGCAACGCGGCGGCGGTTCTGTCATGTTTTCTGCGACGGGGGAGCCTTACGAGCCTACGGCGCGGGCATTGATGGGATTCCGCCGAGATGATTTCCGCAGCGTTCGGGGAGATGTTTGACCAATAAGCCCGTCCGCGCACCCACGAACCCAAAGTAAGGGGGGGAGACACTGGGCAACTCTATTTTGTTGGCCAAGCAAAGTCCGCAAAAGGATGTCGCGGTGTCAAGAGTCTAGACCTTTCTCTTGAGACTTCTGTTGACCAGGCAGAGCGGGCTCACGGAGGCAGTGGAGGGGGAGGGTGATAGACTCTCAGTTTCTGGCTCTCTCTCCATCCGCAGTGTCACTTGACTTGATTCGAGAATGAGCCCTGTCTTGTCCATTTTGATATTGTCACACGATCACGGGCTTTTGCAATTTGCCCTTTGCGCGCAAAAGTGTATGTGTGCGTGGCTCCTACCTTTGATCAGACTTCCCGCCATGGCATTTTCAATTTCCAATCCATCCCCCTTCTCCTGTCAAA